TTACATGCATCAGGTTGTTCAATGTAATTACTTTAAACAAATATTATAGAAACTACTTAAATATTTTCTCCAAATATTCATAGCCAATAGACATCGCACATTCATGGAACAATGGGGCAATAGAATATGCACAAATATTATGTACATTTATTTCCAGGTTGCGGTAACGATACTTTTCGTTGTCATGACAACAGGTACTGTATCGGTAATGACTTTGTGTGTGACCGTATAATCGACTGCTGGGATTCTTCTGATGAATTCGGCAGACAGTGTTCATGTGAGTTTTAGTAGTACATAAATAATTAAAGTTAAAGCGCGGTGGTGTTCGAATTTCATGTAAATAAACAATGTATTTTACACGCGTTGTATACGTCGCTATGAGTCCCTCATCGCACAGGACGCGGCGCGACGACTGCCGCCCTTTAATGTCGAGTGATAATTTGTTCGAATACGGTGTGGAACCCGGCAATTGTTTCATTCCCATTTGTAGCTAGTAGTCGGAGAGCCGAAAATAAAAAAAATAAAATAGTACAACACCCAGTACTGAAATTGTTTTACACCATATTTTGGAAGAATGAGTCATTCTGAACATTTCTAGATAGTATGTAGAGTCAAATTGTGGTATCAGTTTTTTTAGAAGCCATTTTCCAATTTCGGGTCTTAAACATTAATAATTTCAGTTTGGAGCTGAATGTCTGTTCTTATATAGGACAATTTATATTTAAATGTGCATTCTAATATTTACCCATATCAAACATTTTGTAAAAGATCACAAAGTCATAACATTATTAATTTAATATTTAGGATATCATCTGTTGCATATCATTTGCAAACATTTACATATATAATTCAGAATTATTCATTTACATTTGTTTCATTGATTTAATTATATTAAATACTTTATTCTTTTTTCCTTTAATAAACATTTATTATGTATGCATGTTAGTTAGTATCTCTTCATAACATGCCAAGACTTCCTGATTAAGTGCATCTTATATACATGTAAAGCGCCCTCATGAGTTCTAACTGGGATTACATCTCCCAGCATTCTCTTCTCTATCATGGCTGCCTCCACATCTTAGGTTAGTATTTTGTAATCTTCATTTAAATCCAAAACAGCTGTCCTTGTATTTCACCATCCACAGTTGAAGAACATTTAGTGTAATGAGATATGAGGAAGGAAATAGAACACATTTCTAAGTAATAAACAGTGATATATATATTGAGCGAAACTGTGCCAATTATGCTAATTTATGCAAATTAGGAAATTTTAGTCACACCTATTTTATTATAACTAGTTTGTAGAACTTGTTAGAACTGAAAAGTTGCATTTTCATCAAAATATTTGAACAAAAGTTATCAAATAAATTAGTTCAATAGAATCACATGTCAATATTTATCATTTTATAAAAATATCATTACGTATTAGAAAATGGCTG